GATGGTGGCCCCCAGCTTGAACCACGTGTTTTCCCGTGTTCAGGCCACCCAGTTGGGTATCGGATATGCTGGCCCCGAGCTGAAACCATGTGCTTTCACGTATCCAGGCCACCCAGACAAGGGGTATCTACACACACGGCTGTCCCGAGCTCCAGCCATGTGTTTTCACGTGCTCGGGCCACCCACAGGGGTGTGTCTAACATGTGGTCGTCTGGGAGCCCCCCGCGTGGGAGCCCGCACGAGCCAGGCAGAATCAACAAGTCGGCACCAGATGTGTGATAATGTGACACAGTTTCTTCGGCTGGTGAGTTTCCAGATCTCTCCCTGGGGTATCTGACATGGTGGTCCCCAGCTGGAACCACGTGCTTTCACGTGCCCAGGCCACCAGTCGAGGCATCCAACATGGTGGCACCGAGCTGGAGCCGCGTGTTTTCGCGTACCCAGGCCAACCTGAGGGGGATCGAACATGGTTGCCCCGAGCTGGAACCACGCGTTTTCCCGGAAAGGGGGGCGGGCCCAGAGTTGTCTTTTGGGGGCTTACCTCTGGAATCGACTTGCGTGTTGCCCGCGAAATTTGCTTGCAATAGCGAGGTCGCGTCGGGTTGGCAAATGAATATGGGAAAGTAAGCGGTTTCGTTAGTCGCGGATGTCTCGAGCGAAACGCTTTTTGTTCAGAATTTGTTGAGGATGTCTCGAGCGAAACGCTTGCTTTTGTGTTATAGATTGTTCTTCCCCTGGGGACCAGAATTCAGATGATGTCTCAGGTGAAATTATTATTTGCACGTGCTCAGGTCTTGATGATGTCTCGAGCAAGACGTTTGCTTTCACGCGTCCAGGTGGCCCAGGCATACGTTTAGCATGCGGACTTGTTGAGGATGTCTTCAGCGAGACGTTTGTTTTAATGCGTCCAGGTCACCCACGCAGATGTCTAGCATGAGGACTTGTTGAGGATGTAGAGCGAAACGCTTGTTTTCACGCGAACAGGTCGCCCAGGCGAATGTCTAACATGAAGATGTGTTGAGGATGTGTCGAGCGAAACGCTTGCTTTCACGTATCTAGGCCGCCCAGGCGGATTTCTAGCGTGAGGATGTGTTGAGAACGTCTCGAGCGAGACGCTTGTTTTCTCGCGCCCAGGTCGCCCAGGCGGATGTCTAACATGAAGATGTGTTGGATGTCTCGAGCGAACCACTTGTTTTCACGAGTCCAGGTCGCCCAGGCGGATGTCTAGCATGAGGAGGTGATGAGAACGTCTCGAGCGAGACGCTTGTTTTCACGTGTCCACGTCGCCCAGGCGGATGTCTAGCATGAGGATGTGTTGAGGATGTCTCGAGCGAACCGCTTGTTTTCACGTGTCCAGGTCACGCAGGCGGATGTCTAACATGAGGATTGATTGAGGATGTCTCGAGCAAAACGCTTGTCGCAGTAGAGCGCATTGCAGTCCAATCCCGCCCGTCTGTGGGGCGTCCCTGGCGCGCTGGCGCGTCCCCTGGCGCATCCCGTTCGACGTTCTGGCGCGACGTGCCCTGGCACGTCCCCCAGCACGCTACTCGGCGTGGCACGTTCCCCGGCTCGTCCGCTATCGCGTTTCCCGGCTCGTCCCCGGACGTTTCCCCTGCCGGTTCTGTGGCGCCCCCCTGGCAACGTCCCTTGGCATGACGTCCTCTGGCCGCCCCATGGCACGCGCCTCGGCACGTCCCGTGGCAGGTCCCTGGCACATCCAGGGCACGTCCCATGTTACGTCTCCTCACACGCCCCCTGGCGCATCCCCTATTGCGCCCATCCTGTGGCGTGTCCGTGAGCCTGTGCCCCGTGTCGTGTCGTTCCTTTTCGGAGCTGAGTCGGCTTTTAAGGTTGAGTTGATTGGACGTCCAGCACGTTTCCACTTCAACTAGCTCTGGGGTAGCTACTATGTGCTCAGGCAGCTCGAGCTTAAGATCCAGATCAGTTCCGTCAGGGCTCGGCTGCAAAGGAGGACCCGATCCACAACTCTATAGAGCACAATCGCGGCATGGCACATCGCCATCCAGCACGGTGTAGCACAGCACAGCCCTTGGCACGGTACATCGAGATCGACACCTTCAGTATTGCAATTGCCCGTCGCCCAATCAGTTGTCTTGAAAGTGTTGCCATGCCTCACATTTCTCTATTCCGTTCGGGGTTCGTGGGTTGATCATGTTTACGCGTGCGGTCCACCCACGGGAGGGGATCCAACATGTGGTCGTCTAGGAGCCCCCCCGTGGGGGCCCAGTGGGGGCCCATAAGAGGCAAAATCAATACATCTGCACCAGATGTGTAATATTTGACCTCTTCTTCGGCTGGTGATTTTCCAGATCTCCCCCCAGGGGTATCTAAAACATGGTGGTCCCGAGCTGGAGCCACGTCTTTTCACGTGCCCAGACCAACGTGTTTTCACGTGTCCAGGCCACCCAGGTGGATATTGAACATTCTGTGTCATTTAGCCTTCTTAGTGGTCCCGAACTGGAACAGCGGTCGCGGCCGTCGCCGTCCGCCGTCGTTGTCGTCGTCGGTGTTTCGGCCCGCACCTTCTCGACGCATTTCGCCTCGGCTTGGACTCGCCCTTACCATTTCGCCCTGTTGCGGAACATAATCCTTTCATAAGGTCTCGATTGCAGTCAGATCTGGGCGAGCAATGCGCCCAAGCAGCTCGAGCTTGAGGCCCAGCTCAGTTCTGTCAGGATTCGGATGCCAGGGAAGATTTGATCCACGACGCAATAGAGCACAGAACTGTTCAGATTCGCCCCCTTTCGGTTAATCCCGCTTCCGAACTAAACCGGATCTTGAGCTCGAGCTGGTCGAGCGCCCCGCGCGTTCCGATTGCGGCCAGATGTGAGCCATGCGTTCAGGCAGTTCGAGCTTGAAAATCCAGATCAGTTTGATCAGGATTCTGGCGCCACGGACGGCCTGATCCACAATGCAATAGAGCACCGCATTTCAACGCGGCAGGGCGCGTCTCAGTTCATCACAGCGCAGCACAGCACATCCCCTGGCACTGTATATCACCATCGCTACCTTGAGTGTTGGAATTGCCCGTCGCCCAAATATGGTTGGTGTCTTGAACAATGTACATGCTTCACATTTCTATATCCATTTCCAGGCTCGTGGGTTCTAGCCCCGGCATCGCAAATCTGGCGTAATTTGCAACGGATTCTGGCCTCGAGCGCGAATCTGGCGTAACTTGCAAGGACTTCTGGCCCCGGGATCGCGAACCTGGCGTGACCCACTAAGGGTCCATATATCATTTACAACGCGCCCTCGCCTCCAGAGCGCGAATCTTGCGTAGATTACAAGGGATTCTAGCTTCGGGAGGGCGAGCCTGGCATAATTAAAAAGGGATTCTGGCTCTGGGTAATTTACAAGTGAATCTGGCCTCGGGAGCGCGAACCTGACGTAATTTGCAAGGATTCTGGCCTCGGGAGCGCGAATCTGGCGTACTTGATCATGAATGCTGACCTCGGGAGCGCAAAGTTCGAGCAATTTTCAATGGATTCTAGTTTCGGACGAGCGGATTTGTTGTATTTCCCTGAAGGCGCGTGGGCCCAGGGTTCTTTTGAGTTTGTAAATGAGGCGGTTCGCGACGCGCCACGGCACTGCTCGGCGCTGCGGAGCTGGACGGCAGCGAGGTGCCCTGCCGCCTCCGCACCGTGACGCGCGACGGGGCCCCGTCGTCGTCTCGGTGCGCCTCGTTTCGGTTCGGGTTCGCCCACGCCTCGGTTCGCTTCCTTTTCGGAACCGAGTCGGATTTTGAGCTCGAGACGCGCTTGATGCTGCAAGGGATCTCGCACGCAGTGCCGACGGCAGACAGCTCTGCACGACCCGCGCGTTCAGGCGGCTTGAGCCTGAGATCCAGACTAGTTCGGTCAGAGTTCGGCGCGCCTACGGCGGCTTTATCCACAACGCAGTAGAGCGCATCGCGGCTCAACGTCACATAGCACAGCGCAGCCTAGGCGTCCCCCTGCCCTTTCCGTGGCGCGTCCCCCTGCCCATTCCGTGGCGCGTCCCCTGGCGCGCTGGCGCGTCCCTTGGCGCGTCCCTTGCGCCGTCTCCTGGAGTGACGTGTCCCGGCACGCTCTCTGGCACGCCCCTCGGCGCGTCCTGTGGCACGTTCCCTGGCTCGTCCTCTGTCGCGTTTCCTGGCTCGTCCCCTGGCGCCTCTCATGCCCGTTCCGTGGCGTGTCCCATTCCACGTCCCCTGGCGCGTCCGTTGCCACGTCCCCCAGGGCGTCCCTTGGCATGACTTCCTCTGGCACGCCCCATGGCATGCGCCTTGGCACGTCCAGTGGCAGGTCCCTGACACGTCTAGGGCACGTCCCCCAATAGGTTCCCTGACACGTCCTCTGGCGCATCCCCGAGTGCGCCAGTGGCACATCCCGTGGCGTGTCGATTCGCCATGCGCTCCGTGTCGTCCCGCCCCGTCTCGGAACAGAGTCGGACCATGAGCTCGAGCTTATTGAGTGTCCCGCACGTTTTGGCTGCAACCAGCTCTGAGCCAGTTGTGCGTTCGGTCAGCTCGAGCGTAAGTTCCAGACTAGTTCCGTCAGGATTCGGATACTAAGAACGACCCGATCCACAACGCTTTTCTGGAGCAAACCGCACGTCATCGCGGCACGGTGCATCTCAATTCAGCACGGCACAGCACAGCCCAATCTCTAGCACCTTGCATCACGATCGATAACTAATTTCAGCATTGCCCGTCGCCCAATCAGGTATCTTGAAAGCGATGCCATATTTCACTGTTCGAAATTCCTTTCTGGGTTCGTGGGTCGATCATGTCTACGCAGCCAGAAGATCGGGCAACGAGATTCGGGGGTGGTAACCAGGGTGGTGTTCGGTCTTCCCCCCTCGCGCGGACAGTAACAGTGTACAGCAGGAAGCAGACGCACAACTACATCACTGACACCCGAGACATGGTAACTGGCGCAGGGAGCAGGCGCCCGAGCCCCGCAGCATGGTGCCCCTGCGAGGGGGCTGGCGGGTATCAGAGCTCGCGAAAGCGGGCGTGAGAAAAAACCCGCCCTTCCGGGATTCGAAACTCACCCACGTCCTCAAAGAAGCCCTCGCTGGAAATTCCAAGACGGTGATGGTGGCCGCCATATCCCCCAGCGCGGTTGATTATGATGAGACGCTCTCCACGATGCAGTTTTGCCGGCAGGTGAAAATGGTACAAACAAAAGCAGTCGCCAACACCAGCAACGAGAAGGGCATCGAGGCGGAATTGCGCCGCGAGGCCGAGATGCTGCGCAGCAAGCTTGCCATTGCCGAGGCCAATGCTGGGGCAGGCGGCGGCGATCCCAGCTCGACAGGTTCGGCTCATGTGGACGAGGTGCTCTCCAAGTACGGCCGGGGCAAGGTGGACCTCCTCGTGCAGAAGCTAGAGCAGACGGAACAGCTGTCCAAGTTCTACGGCGCCTCCTACGACGAGTGGTTGGCGGAGGAGAAGCGCAAGATCCAGAAGAGTGCCACCGTCGACCCCGACCAGATCGAGCGTTTTCGACAGCAGCAGGCCAACAGAGAAGACGACGGCTCGGCTTCTGAGCACGAGGACAGCGATGCGAGCGCCGACACCGCCAAGGACGAGTTCGTGCTGTGCAACTGCCTCACCAGAGAGGCCGCGATCTCCGACACGATCGAGACCTTCGCCAGAGGGGACGACGAGACGAACAGGATCTCGGTCACCGGCCCCATCGCGCGAGAGTTGCTGTCCGCGCTCGGGGGGAGCCGGGCGCTCCCTGGGGAGGAGGAGGACGAGGAGGTGGACGACCCACAGGATCTGATGGACCGCGCTGCAGCGCACAAGACCAAGGCGCTGGCACAGTGCTGGAGGAGCTGCGTCGAGGTCGAGAGCCTGGCGCTTCGGGTGTCCAGGCCAGGGGCGCCCAAGCTGGTGCTCATCCCGCACGTTGCCATTCGACCGGATGAGATTGACCTCACTTGCGAAGTCATTGTGTCGGCCGAGTATAACGATGACGGAGAGGTTATTCGCGAGTTGTTTCATCGCGCGCAGTTGGAGTTGTTGCTCAAGTTCCTCCAGGACGAAGCTGCTGGCTTGAATGAGGGTGAACATGGCACGTATGATAATGCATGGGAGATCGCCGTGGCTAGGGTGACTGGTCGTGCCACGCGCGCGGAGGTGAAGAAGATGCAGGCGGATTTGTCCACAGCGCCGCGGCCCTCGGACGTCGGCAGGCTCGGTCAGACCACCGAGGAGCTCCGCCTGGAGCTGGCGCAGCAGCAGTCAGCGACCGGCAGGATCGAGAGCGAGGCCTCCGACACCAGGGCAGCCCACGCGCGTTTGGTGTCCGAGGAGTCAAAGGAACTGCAGAGAGAGTGCAACATGGTGCGGAGGCTGGAGTCCATGGCCGAAAGTCAGACCGTCGAGCTGGAGATGCAGCAGTTCCAGCTCGAGGCAGCCAGGCGGGAGGGCGCGGCGGCCAGCAGACTGCGGGCCGAGGCCCAAGCCCTGCGCTCCGAGCTGGGCAGCGCAGAGCTCCGGCGGAGCGCCGCTCGCCGCGGCTCCGAGGACGCCCACGCCTCCGGCGACTCCCTGCGCTCGGAGCTGGGCGTGCTGCAGCGGGAGCTGTCCGCGATGCGGCGCGCGGCCGAGGAGGCGAGGGTCGCCGAGGGCCAGCAGGCCGAGCGGGAGCTGCGGATGCTGCAGCAGCAGAGCGGCGACGCCCAGCGGCTGCGGGGCGAGCTGGATCAGGCACGGGCCCAGCTGGCGGCCGCGTTGAGCGCGGTGGAGGTGATCGACGCCCAGGAGCCCGACGCCGACGCGGCGGAGCTGGTGAGGAGGCTCCAGCGGGAGGGCGCCGCGCTGCGGAAGCGGTGCGGCGAGGCCCTCTCCGAGGCGGGCGCCCTGCGCTCGGAGCTGGGCGAGCTGCAGCGGGAGCTCTCGGATGCACAGGCCGCCGAGTGCCAGCAGGCCGAACAGGAGCTGCGGATGCTGCAGTGCCAAAGCGACGAAACCCGGCGGCTGCGGGCTGAGCTGGGCGCACTGTGCGCGCAGCCCCAGGGCGCCCAGCTCGCGGCGGTGCAGCGGCAGCTGGCAGAGACCAGGAAGCGCCTGAAGGCGCAGGAGGCCCTGACCGAGGCCCACCGAGAGGCATCGAGGGATCTGCCCGCCAGCTTCGAGTCTGCGATGGCTGCCATAGACCAGGCCAGGCAGCAGCTGGAGCAGGCCAATGCGCAGGGCGCCGCTGGCGCCAAGGGCTTGCCCCGGCGGCGGTGAGGGGGTCGCAGTCCTCCGCCAGCGGCCTGTGTGCAAACAGTGATGCCGCGATCGCACACGTGGATTGTGCGATCGCGGGGCGTTCTACTGCACATCCCAGCCAGACTCGGGTGGTGCATTGTTGTGACGTTTCACTGCACGCCACATGTAACTCGCCTCAGGGGTTCTAAACAGCTCATTCCCTCTGCCGACGTCTCGGGAATCCAAGCGCGAACACGTGGCGCACCTCAGCAATGGCATTTACTTCTTGAGTCTGCGGTGCCAGGAGGAGGACGAGGAGGAGGAGGACGAGGAGGAGGAGGACGAGGAGAAGGAGGACGAGGAGGAGGACGAGGAGGAGGAGGAGGACGAGGAGGAGGACGAGGAGGAGGACGAGGAGGAGGACGAGAAGGAGGAGGAGGAGGAGGAGGAGGAGGAGGCGGAGGACGAGGAGGAGGAGGAGGAGGAGGAGGAGGAGTAGGCGGAGGACGAGGAGGAGGAGGAGGAGGAGGAGGAGGAGGACGAGGAGGAGGAGGAGGACGAGGAGGACTTCTGTGCGCCCTAGTCCGAGGGTGGCCGCGCCGCAATGACGCTGTGCACCAACGGGTTGTTGAATCTAAGGCACTGATTATCAGACGTCCAAACTCAAACGTGAGCCCTTGCATCTAAGGCACACTGGCATGAGTGTATACGAACGGGTAATAAGTAGGTTTGTGAAGTAACGTCTACTCTAATCCAAAGGACACGTCGGCATATCTGTATGTGTGACTTTCGACCGCGTCCTCGTCAGTGGCGCGCCCAGGGGGGGGAACGAGAGAGGCCCCGACCCGCTCATGAAGGCGGCGAGGCTCCTCAGAGGCCCTCTGGCCTCCCGAGAGAAGCCTTCTGCGCCTTCGGAGGCGGTCTGGAGAGTTGCCCCGACGGCCGAAGGCCCTTTGAGCCTTTCGAGAAGGTCGGTCTCCGCTGCCCTCTGAGCGTACCGCCGCGCTCGTCCGCCTCGCCGTCGTCGTTGCCGCCGTCGTCTGCGTCACGACGGCTCTGGTGCCACGGGCGCCGCGGCCCTGGAGGTGCACGCCCCCAGGGCACAGCATCCCGTCCTGCCTCTCCGCCCCTGCCGTCCTGCTTCTCCGCCTCCCCCTCCTCCGTAGCCGCTTTGGCTCAAGGGCCAAATGGCGCAGGCGCATCCATCACTGCCTCCGTGGGGCAGGCTCCCATCCAGAGAATCCGCTTTTCTGCAGCATCCACAGGGGCGAGCTGCCGCCCAATTCCATATCGTCTCGGCCCCCCGAGGGCCACGAGATGGCGGGCGGTGGGCCGCGCGCCAAGGGTGCCGTGCGCCAGGAGTGGACCTGCAAGACCTGCGTCAGCAAGCCTGGGCGAGCGGTGGTCAACTGGGGGACGGCGCTCAAGTGCCAGGCGTGCAGGCTGCCCAAGCACGCGTGCTTCGGGGCGAACGTGCCGCTGCCCCCTGCCTGGCCCGGCGGCGCGGCAGCCTGCGGCGGCGAGCGGCAAAGCCCCGCCATGGGCTGGAGGGTCTCCGCTCGCGGTGCAGCTGGCGCAGGCGCAGCGGGAGCTCCAGGACCACAGGAAACAGCTCAGGGTCGCCAGCGGCGCTGGCGGCGGGGGCCCGCAGCTCGCGGGGGCCCAGGACATGGTGGTCGACGACGGCACCGCCGCCGGCGCGGACGACGCGGCCCTGGCCGCCGAGGTCAAGGAGTGCGAGGCTGGCCTCCACGCGCTCAAGGACGTGGCCGCGGACTGGGCCAAGGCGCCGCGCGACGAGCTGCGAGCCAGGCTCGCGAAGGCGAAAGCCAAGATGTTTGCCAACAAACCGCTCCACGCCAGGACGCATGCCATCACCAACAAGGCCAATCAGTGCGCCGAGCGGCTGGACAAGGCGGAGGGCGCGATGCGCAAAACCACGGAGGCGCTCCAGCGGGCGCAGGAGGAGGGGCAGCGCACGGAGCAGGTCCATTCCGAACTCCTCGCGCAGCAGGCGGCGCTGCAGGCGGAGCTGGCGACGCTCCAGCAGCAGGCCCCGCAGGTGCCTTCTCCCCGCGCGGCTGGCCAGGCCATGGCGTCGGACGTCATCGGCGGGCTTGGCATCACGGTCGGGGAGCTGGAAGCCATCATGCGGACGCAGCTGGCCGAGTACCCTAACGACGAGCAACCTGTCCCAGCAGAGGCACAGAAGCGGATGGCAGGTGTGCTGGGCCAGCTGATCGCCGAGCTCTATGTTGCCAAGCGGGTGCGGCGTGCTAGCCTGCCGCCGAAGCGGCCGTGGGCGAGGAGCACGGGGCCGCGGACGGCAGTGCGGGCGGCGGCCCATCGCCCGCCGTCGCCCGGCGCCGAGCAGTCGGCAGCAGCGGCCGCTGGTGCGGAGGATGCGAGGCCGTGGCAGCCCCACCAGGAGTCCCTGGAGCAGCTCCAGCAGCACCTGCAGAAGGTCGGAGTGCAGCACGAGGGCGACGAGGAGGCCGTGCGAGCCCGCTGCACCGCGTTGGCTCGCGGCGGCTTCCAGCCTTATTAAGGTGCTACTGGTCCTCAGCGCGTGGTTCTCTACCATGGCGAAGGGCAGCGTCGTTCGTTGCCTTGAATGTCACCGCGGGTGGTACCTTGTCGCCGTGTGTAGAAGGGTTGCGCGAACGCTCCGACGCCGCGGTGCTCCTGTTCCAGGAGCACCACGCCAGGGACCACGACAGGCTGGCCGCCTTGCAGCACACCATGCTGGACCACGGCTACGCGGGCGCGTGTGCCGCAGCTACCGCAGGCGCCCACGGGAGCGACGGCACCTCTGGTGGGGGCGGTTTTGGCGCGGGCCCACGTCGTCGTCACCAGCTTTCCTTTCCTGGACAGCCCTGTCCTGGCTGAGGCGCGCCTGGTGGCGGCCCGCGCGCGCTGGGGCGCCGCGGGGGGCCTGGTCGCGATCTCGGCGTACTTGCGCGACGGCGTCGGCTGGAACGAAGAGAACCAGCGGCTCGGGATGTTCCTCGCGCGCTTCCTGGCCAGGCTCAGCGCGGCGGGGTTGGACTGGGTCGCGGGCGGCGGCTTCAACATGTCTGCGGAGACCTTCCCCGCGCAGCTGGTTTACGACGTGCGAGGGCTGTGGGCGGCGCCCGACGCGGCTACTTGTAGGCCGCGGGTCGGCGCGTGGTCCACCACCGATTACTTCCTGTGCGCAGCCAACCGTGCGCCGCGGTTGGGCAAGCCGCAGGTTCTCGCGGAGGGCACTGCGGCGCCGCACCTCCTTGTGGCGGTCGCGGCGCAGGCCCGGCACCTCCCCGTGAAGGTCCGCGTGGCCCCAGGTCCGAGTCCCATCGGGCCCGCCCCGCCTATCGGCTGCAGCCGCGCGGTTGAGGACTGGCGGCGCCCGCCGGCCAAGGCGCGCGCTGTCGCGAATGCCGCGCAGCTGCCAGCGGCCGGGGACGCGGTGGTTGAGGCAGTAGAGCAAGAGCTGCTGGACCGCTGCGACCCCGCGGGGGCGGACAGGGCCAAGTACGTCGGCAGGTCAGGTGCTCTGGAGACGGCCCTCGTCGCCGTCGCGCGGCGATCCCCTCGTCGACGAACCAGGCTTGGGCGGCGCGCGATGGCGCATCGCGCTGCGTCGAGGTGGGCTCGCCGCGCGATGGGGATCGGGGCGCATGTCGCCAGAGCGCTCCGTCAACTCCATGGGGCCGATCTGCCATGCGCACTCGACGCAAGACAGCATGACAAGTTGGCGGCCTTCTTGCTCGAGGCCGGCTCCTACATGCAGAAGATCGCAGAGCAGCACCGCGGCGCGCTCGCCCTGCTGCCGCGCTGGATTCAGGATTTCTTCCAGCAGCAGCTGCTCGTCCTCAAGTTGGAGGACTTCGCGGAGCCGGCTGCCCGCGTCGTGGAATACGCCGGCGGCCAGTACGAGGCGGCGCTCAAGCGGCAGCAGCAGGCCCTGGCGAAGTGGGCGAGCGACGCCTTCAGCCGCGGTGCGTGCCAGACATGCCGCGGGTCCAAGGTGAGGGACTTGCAGGAGGTCATCTCCGCCTGGGATGGCGAGCAGCGGGAGGCCAGCCCCCGCCGCGTGTGCGACCGCGAGATGATGCCGCGGGAGAAGGCGAGGCAGTGCCCTAGGCTGCAGCCGACGAGCAGGCCAGTGGACATCGGCGAGTGGGAGCCGTTGCCCGAGCTCACGGTTGAGCAGCTGCGGCAGGCGGCACTCTCCGTCCCCTGCAGCACCGCCATCGGGCTCGCCAAGATCAGCGTGGGGGCCCTCGGCTTCTTGTCAGACGAGGGCATGCACGTGTGCGCGCAGGCGTGCATGGAAAAGGCTCGGAGCCTGGCCTGAGGGCCGCCTCTGGCACGCCATGCGTCGGCCGCCAAAGCCTTCGGAAGGATGTCGACTTATCACCCTCATGCATTCCATGGTGAGGTGGCGGTCGCGGGCGCGCGCAGAGATGCCCGGGCGCTGGCTACGGCAGCACCCCAGCGTTGACATCTGGGGGCTTGGCGCTGGCAGGTCATCCTCTGACGCGGCGTTCGACTTGAACCTGGAGGCGGAGGTCGCGGTCAACCTCCAGGAACAGGTAATCACGGTCCTCAGGGATGCTTGGAAGTTCTTCGAGACCGCTGTCCCTGCTGCCCTTCTCCAGGAGGCTCGGCAGCTGCGCATGCCGCTGCCCCATCGCCTGGTTCCTCCCCGAGCTGTGCCCCCAGCCCCGGAGGTTGCAGGCGTTCGGGTCCGTTTCCAACGATGCGGTCTCAGGCCAGGGCTCTGGTGCCCGTGCTGCTGCATCGCCTGCCGGAGCGGATCCGCGGCATGGGGGTCACGCCGAGGGCGCTCGTGGTGGGCCGCCGTCACCCACTTCCGTGAGGAGGCGAAGGCGCTGGGCATCATCGTGCAGTCAGCCAAGTCGGGTTTCCTGACGTCCTCGTCGTGCCTCGCGGCCTCGCGCGCGCCAGCAAGCGGCGCGCGGGCTCGAAGGGCTTGTAACATCTATGTATATATAAATATAGAGAGAGAATGTATATATTAACATATAGTTGTATATATATATATATACGTATATATATAGTATATAGATACACATTATATATGTGTATATATATATATGTATATATACATACATACATATATATATATATATATATACAGAGAGAGAGAGGCCGGGGGGGGGCAAAACCGGCGCCATCATCCCCCATGGGCGCCCCCCCGAATTTTTGGGGGGTCACAGACCCCCCGGGACTGCCCCGGGCCGCTTCCGAATTGC